GAACCACAACATCCCCTCAGCCCTGCAGTGGAGTCAGCCCAAATCCACCGGCAGCAGGATGCCAAGAACCACCCTCTCACAGAGAGCAGCCCCAGAGACCTGGTCCCAGGACCCTGCTCCAGAGGTCAGGATGCCATGCTGCAGCCAACCTGCGGCCAGGGTCAAGCACTTGCAAGCATTTGCACTCACATATAGGCCGACCTGGGAGACACCGAGGGGTTCAATCCCCAGCTACCACAGTAAAGCACACCGCAGATAAATCCTCACGATACAGCTAGTCACGCTTTGGCTGTTTGTTTCCCAGTGCCCATCAAAGGAGTGCTGGCACCATACTATGGAGACCCATTGGCTTAGTGGTTAAACACTGGGTTGTGAACTCCAAGGTCAGCCGCTCAAAACCATCAGCCACTCCATGGGAGAAAGATGGGGCTTTCTACTTCCGTAAAGGGTTACAGTCTCCGAAACTCACAGGGGCAGTTCTACCCTGTCTTGCAGGGTGGCTGTGAGTCGGCATCCACTCGATGGGTTTTGGTTTACACCATCCTGTAGTCTAGTCAGTGGGCATTCTGGGTATGAAAAAGTCTGAAGTAAGGTTGAAAATGCCCAAAGGTGGCAGAGCCTTAGAACAAGCACAGAAAACATGGCTCCGATAGACTTGCTCGGTGCATCGTTGCCACAAGCCTTGCACTTTCCCCAGCATGTTAAACACACCACAGGGGGACCTGTATTCACCTAGAGCCAGCAGCACCATGGAAGAAAGGCCTGGCGACCGAAAGAAAGCCCGAGGGAGGGGCAGTCCTATTCTGCAACCACACGCAGTCACCATGCACTGGAATGGATTCTACGGCCACCCAAGAAGACGCAAGTAAGTAGTGACAGCAGCACGTTCAAACAAGTTCGTTGGTCTTTTAAAAAGCTTCATGGGAAAAGGAGCCCTGGTGGTGCTGCAGGATAAGCACTGGGCTGCTAACCGCAAGGCCAGCAGTTCACACCCACCAGCTGCTTTGCAGGAGAAAGATGAGGCTGACTGCGCCCATGAGGATTTGTAGTCTCAGGGCCCTACATCAGGGTCCCTCTATAGTCTCATCTCACTCATGACCATGATTTGATTTGATTCTCACTCACAGCAATACTGCAGGACAGGGTAGAACTGTCACCGTGGGTTTCTGACACGGGAGTAGAGAGTCTCATTTTCTCTCCTGTAGCAGCTGGTAGTTTCGAACTGTTGACCTTGTGGTGAGCACCCCAACAAGTAACCACTATGCCATCTGGGCTTCTTTACATCATCTCAGATACCCTATCTGGGGTGGTATGAACAGACTCGATGGCAGTGGGTATGGGAATGGGGAGGTAGGTGTGTAGTGACTCCCCCCCCCCCCCAAATCCTGCATCTGGTCTCTAGCCTCCCTCCCCAGCTACTGAGTGGTGGCTCAGACTTGGTTCCCCCACCAAGGATCCCCCATTGGGGGAAGGAAGACACCTCACCCATCTATTCACAGATCCGGGGTCATCACTCCCCTCTGGCCTCCACTCAGGAGTCTGGGATGGGCCCCACCATCTTCAGAACTCCTCTCCCATCCACTGAGGCCTCTGTTGCAGCTGCACCATACACCCCTTTTGCCTCTTGAAATGTCCCCTCTGCTTCTGCCTGTTTCTGCTTACCTGGCTCCCTCCCAGGTGTGGGCCCGGACCTTTCCCCAGCCACTCATCAGCAAATCTCGGCCTCTTAGTCTGTTTCCTGGAGAAGCTGGGAGAGACTTTAGGAGACTGCAAGCAGGATGCTGGAGTTGGATCGCTGGCTGGCTAATGAGGACCCTGTCTCCAGGGGACCCAGTGACCCTGTCACCAGTCATCAAAACTTCCACCCATGGAGGCCAGAGCACTGAGGCATGCTGAATATACTCAGGTGTTTGTGGAGGCTGGAGGAAGCACCAATTGCATGGACTGTGGAGGTAGGAGGAACCCTGGTGGCATAGTGGTTACATGCTGGGCAGCTAACCACCACAAGGTCAGCGGTTCAAAACCACCAGCCACTCCTCGGGAGAAAGATGAAGCTTGTACTCCCATAAACGGTCTTAGGGCTGTTCTGCCCCGAATTATAGGGTCACCGTGAATCAGAATTATTGGCAGTGAGTTTGGTTTGGGTTGGTTGGTTGGTAGTTGCTTTGGGAAGCAGCCTGATGGCGCTGTTGGGTAAGCACTGGGCTGCTCACAGCAAAGACGTTTTGGCGCCACTGCTTCAAGTCATCTCCTTTCTTGCCTTCCTCCTCCCTGCAGACTCTCCAACAAGCACGGTGTCGTTTTTTCTGACAGCTCCTTCCTGACAGCATGCCCATTTATGTGAGATGAATTCTCCCTACCTCTGCTTCTAAGGAGCATTCTGGCTGTATTTCCCCCAAGACAGACTTGTTTATTCTTCTGGCACTTCAATATTAATCACTTTTGCCAATACTATACTTCAAATGCATCAATTTTTCTTATTCATTATCCAAGGTTCACATCCCTGTGAGGCAGCTGAAAGTAACATGGTTTGGGTAAGGTGTACCTTAGTTCTCATAGTAGTAACCTCTTTGCTTTTCAAGCATCAGGCTGCTAACTGTGAGGCTGGTGGTTCAAACCCACCAGCCACCCTCCATGGGAGAAAGTTGAGGCTGTCTGTTCCCATAAAGATGTACAGCCTTAGAAACCCGGTCTAGGGCCACGATGAGTCAGAACGAGCTCAGTGGGAATGGATTTAGGCTTTTATTTATGGAGTGGTGGAACTGGGGGACTGTTGTTGATGGGAATGGGGGCATTGTGGGTGAGGGGTGGAGGGGCAACGAAAAAGAGGAAGTCCCTCAAGCAGATGGATTGACGCAGTGGCTGTAACAATGGACTCGGGCACGGGATGACTGTGAGGATGGCACTGGGCATGCTCTGTTGCTCTTTGGGTCCCAGCGGGGGGTGGGAACCATTGGACGCCACGAAGCAGCAGCAGCAACACTGGAGCAGCACTGCGGAGGAAAGGCCCGGAGACTGGGGCCCCTAACAACCACCACTCCCCCCGAGTGTCAGGAGTCCCTCACTGGCTGTTGTCGATCGTTCCGTGCTCCCCCATCATCGGTAGGCTGGGGACCCGAGCCATTCTGGAGCTCCCTGAGAGATGGGCCTGGGACCCGCTTCTGAAAGGGGACAGGCCGGAAACCCTTATGGAGCAGTTGTCTGCACACAGGAATCACCAGGAGACAGAGTCACTGGGATGGCATGAACCACCTCCACCTGCAAAGGCTGCTGGGTAGGTGCCTGCCCTTCTAGTCCTCGCTTGGAACGGAAGAACTGGGCTTGCTGTCTCACGGGGTGGGCTCCGCCAGCTTCAGGGGACACTGTCGGCATTTCCCCATGTGGCCTTGCACCCCCTCGTGGCTACCGAAGTACTTCAGGTGATGGCAGCCCCCAGAGACCAGGGGTAGTAGAGCGGGGTGGGGGTGGGGTGGCAGGGCCTTCTGCGGGCTAAGGAGGCTGGTTTGGTTGGAGGAATGATGACGGACATGGAGGAGGATGAAGATAGATTCCCTGCTCAGGATGTGGGCATCCCCCCACCCCACCCCGGGACAAGGCACCTTCAGGGACACAGCCTTTGGTTTCAGACACAATGGGGGTACCACTGGAGGGTAGGGGGCAGAGGGCTTGCCCACAGGATTCAAGCCCTTCAGGCCTGGCTAGAGCCTGCACAGCCAAGGCCCACCGCCCTGGCACACTGTTCCCGCCCTCCGGGCGCCTCTGCTCCAGCTGTGGCCTTTCTTCCTGGAGGCCGTGGTCCCCGGCGTGCTTTGCCCCGTGGATGCTGGCGTGAGGACGTGGTCTGAGAACAGGGACCAGCGATGGCGCAGGAACGCCCGGCGCCATGCGGCTTCGCCTACTTCTGGCTGCCTCTGCCGCGCAGCGCACCCTCCGAGCCCCGCTTCTTTCTCCGTGAGGTGACTGTGGGCTCCCTTCCAGTCAACTCCGATCCACCTCAGAGGAACTGCCCTGGGGCGTTTTCAAAGCTGTGGCTTTGCAGACGCCCATCACGTTCCCAGGTACCTCTGGTGGGTGAACCGCAGGCCTTTCCGCTGGTCCTGAAGTGCTTCACGACAGTACCATCAGAGTGAACACCTTGCTGGGCGGCTGGGTGGCTTAAAGGAGACCCTTGCCCAGGACTTGGTGAGTGCTATCAGTAGGGGTGTTGGGGCCTGCCAGTGCTGGAAGGAGTCAGAGATGACGGTGTTGGGGCTGAGTCGATCCCCAGGCACAGGGACCCCAGGTACAGCATACCTTACACCCACTGCCCAGGCCTGTGCCAGCCTCACAGCTGCAGTTATGTCCGAATCCATTGTTCCACTGCCCCTCCTCTGTCCCCAGGGACTGGTCTCTCCTGATCACCTGTCCAAAGGGCGTGAGATGAAGTCTCACCATCTTTGCTTCCCAGGAGCATCCTGGCCGTGCTTCTTCCTGAAGTGGATCTGTTAGCTCCCTGGGCAGTCCATGGTACTTTCACGATGCTTAATACCCTTCACCAGCGCTGGCATTCCAAACACTGCTGTTCTCCGTCTTCCTTATTCCGTGTCTACCTTACCTATGCACACGAGGCGACTGAAACCAGCATGGCTTGGGTCAGGCGCACCTTAGTCCTCAAAACACCCTTGCTTTTCAATACTCTAAAGAGGCGGGCTTGCCCAAACTTGAGGGCCAGTGGGCTGGCGAGTGGCCCACACCCTACCCATGTGCTGAGCGGGGATTAGAGCAGGACCTGAGGTTTAGGCCGCTCTCGGCCAGCTGCAGGCTGGACTTGGGTCACTGTAATCCCTCCTGGCCCAGCCAGTGCTGACGTCTCATGCTGGGCAGGAAGGTGGAGGCAGGGCGGGGCTGGGTGGGGATTAGAGGCCTCCCTGCTGCTGGGTCATCCCTGCCACTGCCCAGCCAGCCAGCACTCTCCTAGAGGGCCTGCACCTGGCCTTTGCCTCAGGCCGACTGGTTCTGCCTGGGGCCGCTGGGGCCCACCTGCAATCTGGGTGAGTGGTACTCTAACCCACCTGCAGTTTCCAGCTGAGGGGAGAGGAGGTGGAGGAAGGGGGCAGGGCAGACATGGAAGCCACGGGGTTCCTGAGTGGGTGGTATGCTCCCACAGCTAGCTGCCCATTTGTCCAGTGTCATGAGACAGAGGGGACTTCGAGGAGCCAGGGCAAGGCTGTCTCCTGTACCCCCATGCCTGCTCTCCCTACTACTACTGCCCCAAGCCCGACTTTCAACCCTCAGTCACCATCAGCCATCTCCATGCTCCCACCCCACCCAGCTGCACCCCATGCAGTCCCATTTCCCCCACCCGAGCCCAGTGCTCAGCCCAGGCTGAGGGTAATATGGAGATGGAGGCACTTGGGGCTTCCCTAGCTTCAGGGCCTTGTCTCCAGGGCCAGGGCTGAGCGGGCTGCAATGTCTCCCCGCTGTGCCTTGCAACTAGTGTCCCCAAAGTCTTCTCCAGGCAGGTGAGCAGCTGTGGACAGCTCAGTGGAGGTGGGCAGGCCTGGCACCTGCCCACTGCCTCCCCTGCAGCTGTGTTGGAAGTGGTCAGTGGAGGCTCCCACCCTCCCTGCTCCCCTTGGCCAGCAGTGCTGGGGGTCCGGGGCGAGCCTGGTCCGCCTCTTCTTCCTCCTGGGCTCAGGGACACAGGAGGCGAGTGATTGGGGGTGCAGGGGGTCCTCTGGGCTGAGATGGAGTAAGGAAGTGAGTGAGAACTGTCTTTGCTGGCACGGCGGGGAGGTGCCCACCCCACATGGGTTTCCGGAACGAAAGAGGGACGACACCTCTCATGGGACCCTTGACTCTTGTCCTTCAGGGGAGAGGGGGCCTCCTCAGCCACCCAGCTCACTTCCAAAGCAGGGGAGCTCCGGAGAAATGCTGGCGGTCAGGATGTCCACGTGGAGTGTTCACCCCTTGAAGCCTGCCACTCTGTGCCCGCCACCCGGGGACCTCACCTCCCCGAGCCGCCAGCGCCGCCACACGCTCCCTGCCAGCGAGTTCCGCTGCCTCACCTTGGAGGATGCTACGAGCGTGTTTGAGATTGAGCGGGAAGGTGGGGGCCCTGCGCAGGATCCACACCCCTGGTCAGCTCTGGCCCGGTGGCTCTGTAGGGAGAATGTCCTCCTCCTTGACCCAGTCCCCCCGAGCTCATCTCCTGTGTTGGGAGGGTGGGTTCTTGGGAAACCATGTGCGTGTGGTGTGTATGCCTACATGGGGGTGTGTGTGTGTGTACATCTTTGTGGGTACACATGTGCACACACACATTCAGAATGAAGAATCGGGAGGGCAGGCCTGTATCTGCTTTCCAGTGGGTCAGGGTTGGGTGGGCATGGGAGAGGGGCATCGGCTCAGTGACCATGGGGTCATGTATGTGTGTTCCCCCCACCCCCTCCAGCCTTCATTTCTGTCTCGGGCACCTGCCCCCTATGTCTGGATGAGGTCCGGCACTTCCTGACGCTGTGTCCAGAGCTTTCCCTGGGCTGGTTCGAGGAGGGCCGCCTGGTGGCCTTCATCATCGGCTCACTGTGGGATGAGGAGCGGCTCACTCAGGTGAAGCAGGCTGCTTCCTGGAGGCCTCTGGGAAGCCCCCAGAGTGACCAGCCAGGAGGGCTGCTAGGAAGGTCTTAAAACACTCACGCTCACTCCCTGCAGGACAGGATAGAACCGCCCCTGTGAGTTTCCGAGACAGGAACTCCCTACGGGAGTCGAAAGGCCCATCTTTCTCTAGAGGAGTGGCTGGCGGTTTCGAACTGCTGACTTGCGATTGAAGCCATGCACAAAAGCTCCTCCACGGTGCTGGGAGGAGCCCGGTGCTGCTGCTGGGGAAGCAGTTAGTGCTAAGTCCCTGGCTCCAACCTATCAGCCGCTCAGCTCCTGGATCTGGGGTCGGGGGGAGGGGAGGAGAGGAGATTGCCTGCTCGGAAAGCCCAGTGGGGCCGCTCGGGATGAAGTGGGCTATGGGAATAGATGTCAACAGAGATGACCTGGGCCCCCGCCTCTCCTCATGCAGGAGTCGCTGACGCTGCACCGGCCCGCGGGCCGCACAGCCCACCTGCACGTGCTGGCCGTGCACCGCACCTTCCGGCAGCAGGGCAAGGGCTCCGTCCTGCTGTGGCGCTACTTGCAGCACCTGGGTGGCCAGCCGGCAGTGCGCCGCGCCGCGCTGATGTGCGAGGGCCCGCTCGTGCCCTTCTACGAGAAGTTCGGCTTCCAGGCGCTGGGCCCATGCGCCTTCTCCGTGGGCTCCCTGGCCTTCACCGAATTGCGCTGCAGCCTGCGCCTCCACGCCTCTCTGCGCAGGAACAGCGGATGCTGAGCCCCGCCCTACCGCCCTGACAGGGCGCTCAGGCAGGACGGGTCTGCAGAGGCCTGAGTCTTCCAGGGAGAAATCTGGCCTGCAGAGGGTATCCGCCCTGGGGGACTTCCCCACCCATCCCTTGGGTGTCCTGTGGCCCACCTAGAACTCCCCAGACCACCCTCCTCTCCCAGCAAACCTTGCTGCCCCATTAAAGTGGTCACATCTATTGGTCTCCCTGGTGTGGTCTGAAGGGTTGTGGGGGACGTGTGACTTGGGGAAGGACGGTAAATACACAGTAAGGGCATGGCCTTTCTCCCTGGGGCCATCTTGGCCAGTGCAGGTACCCCCATTCCAGGGGGGTCCCCTTACTGACCCTGAGGGCCTCCTGCCATATTCCCTGGTGTCCCTCTCTGTCCCTTTGGACCACTGTCCTGCCCCACCCACTCCATCATGAGTCCCCACTTCACTCTCTCCCAGGCCCCAGAATCAGAATCGGAGACTCAGCCTTTCCCACCAAGAATATTTAATAGCCCTGAGACATTGTCTAACGTTAGCGTTACTCTTAAAAACCACAAAGGTAATATAAACTGGTACAAAACCCCAACCAGCCATGACCGGTCCCGGCCATGGGGACCCGAGAGCAGGTTCCTGGGGTGACCCGCTGGCCACCCCCACACACTCTGAGGTGAGAGTAGTCTTGGGTGGCTGTTGGCACCAGCCCGGAAGGAGAGTGGAACACTGATAGTGCCCAGACAGGTCGGGGGCAGGGGCCTGGGGTTCTCCCTGCTCCTTTTAGGGGGATGGCCATTTGTTGACAACCCCTGTCACCCCAGCCTATGACCTGAGCTTCTCCGGCATGGTCCGGTGTAGCTCAGAGCCCTCGGATGGACATAGACTGGGGTCTCACAGGGTGGGGGCAGGAAGGAGGAACAAGAAGGGAACCCCTAGTGGGTATGGGGAGGCTAAGTGGAAGCCTGGGTTACCAGACAGCTGCCCAGTATGAGGCCACCCTGGGCCAGCGCCATCCCTGGGAAGGGCATGTTCACAGTAATGGTGAGAAGGCACAGCAGAGGGGGGGCTGGGAGGTGCAGCAGCCCAGGAGCTGGACAGCAGACCCTGCCCCAGGATGTGGCCACAAAGGAGGGTAGAAGGAAGAGGGCCAGGCCTGTGGGCAGCACTGCGGAGAACCAGGCGGTCTGGTGTTTCTATAGGTGGTCCCACCTGCCTTATCAGCCAACGCTCCAGTCACAAGTCCCATGGCAGCGCGGCAGGCGGGTCAGTGCAGCACCTGGTCCAGCTCGTACTTCTCGCAGAAGTGGCTGGTGAAGGGGAAACAGGTGAGGTACTCCACCCAGGGCCAGTTGATGGGGTAGACATAGAGCCAGATGACCAGGGAGGTGAAGAGGCCGGCGAAGACCAGCAGGGACACCAGGATGAGGACACGCTTGCGGTACTTGTCGCTGGTGCCGAAGGTTATGTAGGGCAGGAAGGCGAAGGCCAGCAGCAGGCCGCTGAGGAAGCCGAAGATGTGGGCGGTGTTGTCCACCCAGGGCAGGAGGCCGCAGACGAAGAGGAAGAGCAGGATGGCCGACAGGTTCAGGAAGGCCTTCCAGGGCCTCTCTAGCAGCTGCCAGCTCTGGAACAGCTCCACAAAGAGGCAGGCGAGGAGGCCGAACTGCGAGCCGGCTGGGCCCACCTGCGGGTAGGTAGCGGGGGGCCGCGTCACCGAGGCTCAGGGGACCCATGGCTGCGCCGGGGCTGTGGCGCCCACCCCTCTAGCAACCACTGAACAGCCATAGGGCACCCGGTCAGTGCGGGCCGGGTGCCGTGGGCAAGGCAGGCCGTCATGGGCAATGCAGGCCGCCCCGCTGCTGGGGGCGGGTGGGTCAGTGCAGGACCTTCTCGGGGTAACATCTGAGCGTGGGGGATGGGGACGGAATCAGGGATCACGGTGAATCAGAAACATCAGCTGTTCCCTCTCTGAGGATTAAGGGACCAGCCAATAAGCCCGGCTTAGCATCATCACCCGCTACGGAGTGAGGCAGTGGGGGCAAGTCCCTGGGCAGACTCCGGTGGGAGGGGACAGCAGAGCAGAGCAGGAGAGTCTCAAGCAGCCTCTATCCCCTACCCCTGGCTCAGCCCCTACCTCTGTCCCCAGCCCCTATCCCTGCCCCCACTCTGTACCCCTATCCTTAGCCCCTACCCCTGCCCTCAGCCCCAATCTCTAATCCCATACCCTACCTCCATCCCATAACCTACCCCTGCCCCAAGCCCCTATATCAGCCCTCAGCCCTTATCCCTGCTCCTAGCCCTAGGCTGTAGTTCCCAGGCTATATCCACCCCCCAGGTTATACCCCCACCCCCAGTTTGTACCCCTGCACAGGCTGTACTCGCCCCCCCAGGCTGCACCTCCACGTGGTAGGGTGTACCCCTGACCCCAGGCTGCACCCCCCACTCCCAGGCTGTCCCCCCCTCCCCGGGCTGCACCTCTGCACGGTAGGGCAGGAAGATGGTGCTCGCGAGGTTGCCAGTGATGCCGCTGAGGATGAAGATGATGGAGATGCGGTGCCAGCCGGCCAGCTTCTCCAGGTCCCGCAGGATGGTCATTTGGAAGACCACAGACACCAGGCAGTGCACCACACTGGGGCGGAGACACACAGGACCAAGTATGGGCCTACCTGAGCCAGAGTGCCCGAACCCGAAGCCCTTCCTCAGAGGCCCAGAAGGCAGCCAGTGCAGGCATTCCCAGGAGGCCGGGTGTGGCAGGCTGCGCCGCAGGGTGCTTACCCTGCGTGCAGGAAGAGAGACAGCCAGAGGCGGTAGAACTGATCTGGGACCTCAGGGTTGAGGAAGGGCAGCAGCCCACACACCTTGTCTAGGCAGTGCACCTGGGGGAATACACCGGGTGGTCAGTGCCCTGGGCTGGTGGCCCCCTGGGGAGAGGGAGTGAAGAGGAGTCCGTGCCCTTGGGAGGCACACACTGCAGCGGTGAATGCCCAAGTCCTGATCCCAACCTGGCTGCCCCCTGCCTCTTCCCCCACCCATGGGCTCCCTGTCCCCCCGTCCTCAGCTGACCTGAGAGCAGAGCGTGGCCCCCTCGTGGAAATAGCCGTGCATGAACTCACAGTACTCCCGCGTGGTGATCTCACAGCTGGGGTGGGGGCGGGGAGGGCCATCAGGTCCCAAGGACCCCCCTTCTGGCCCACCTCACCCCAGCCCAATGCTTGGCCAGAGCAGGCCCTCCTGGCAGGAAGTGGGGGGCCCTTTGCAGAGATCCCGGCCAGCCGCCCACACCCTGGGAGGAGCCTGCGGGCAG